ACAGCACACTACAAGTAATTTCCTTTAACAATTTTATTGATTTTTTCTTTTGCCCCTTTTTTTCTTGGGCCGCCTCCAATCCCCCATCCTTACCTACTTCTTTCTTCTTCCCAACAAGTACATAGGAAACTTCGACATCCTTTCTGACTTTCTCCCCTGCTTCTTTCATCACCCAGACAAGCAACCATAATAAGGGGTGTTTGGAACTAATTCTGATTCTATTTCTTTTTTTAAGCAGAAGCAAAATCAGAATCAGTTTTCATAAGCTGGTCACCTCAGTTTCTAAAAAAATTGATTCTAGGAGGAAATTAGAGCACCAGAATCACTTCTGCACTTTCACCCAAACACCCCAATTTCTGCTTCTGCTCCCTGAAGGAGCAGAAGCAGTTTTAAGAATCAGATCCAAACATACCCTAAGTAGACTTCGTCACCGGCGCCTGCTAAATCAAAAGCTCTGCCGCCTCAGACACCGGCACTTTCCTTCCTGCTCCCTATCTTCTCTCCTGCGCCTCAACATCTCTCATCTCTGCAACTTCTTCCATTTTCTTTCTCTTCTCCCCCTAGTTTTATGTTCACACTTTTCCGGCCTCACTTCAACCTCTTCCCTGCATCTCTTTTCTTCCATACATGGGCGGAGCTAGGGGGTGCCCATGCTAGGCCATGAAAACTACCGGTGTGTTCGTACAGAAGAACCGGCAACATGTTCATTTCCGGTCAAAAAGAGGATTTAGCATTTTTTATTAAGTTTGAGGATTTGATTGATCGGATTATTACTATGGGAGCTTAATTGATTTTTTTGAAAAGTTGAGGAGCTTATTTGATAACTTTCCCTTTAATATATCACGTACAATTTCACTATAAAGTCATTATCAAGTCATGAATTTCTTTTGTTACCGCTAAGAGTCATTTTGGGTGGCTGTCTTTCTTTTTAATGTCATCCTTGATCAGTCAAATTATATATAATGCAAGTCATCGAGCAAAAATGTCACATGGACAGTATAATAAATGTGATATCAATGGATATTCTTTTAACATACTGATTGGATAAAAATAAAAACAAAATATCATCTCAACTACTATTAAAAAAGTTATCTTGATTTTCAATGTACATCATGAAAGGATTGTAACATGTGATTTAACTCGAACGAGCTATTAGCTAGGAACTAGATCATAAGACATAAAGTATGAAAACTCATATTGCGTCATTTTGATTGTGTTTTAGACTTAAATAAGGCTATTTCTTTAACAAAAACATACTAGTACAAAACTAAATTTGTTTTTATATGCATAAATTGTACTCCCTCCGTTTCGGAATTATCTTCATACTTTCCTTTTCGATTTGTCCCAAATTTATCTCCTCTTTCTCTTTTTAGCAAAGAATTTGTGGTTCACAATCATTCTTACACATTCTTACACATTTCTCTTTCCTCTGCACAACTCTTCACCACACATTTACCATTATCTTAATCTGTTTGCCATTTGTACTTCAGGAGATAAATATGGGACCTATAAAAATTCAGATGTTTCTCAAAAGAAGTGACTCTGACACAAAAAATGGTCGAGCCATGCATGGCTGATGCAATAATAATGTAATTCATGGCACGTTCTTTTTGTCAAGTAAGTCACATCTCACTGTCTTAAATACTCCTTCTGTGTTTGTTTTTTAAAAAAACTAAAAATTGACTGATCGATCCAGTAGGCCTCTATTTTACCATCCATAATGACAATGCATGGTATCTATCTCCATGCTCCTAAAATAGATTTGTTTTTTCATATGTCCCTAATTATTATTGTTTTCTTTTGTTAAACAAATACGGAGTATATATATATATATATATATATATATACACACACACACACACATATGATATAGTATATGATATATATCTTCACTAATTAGTTAATAAATCTCTAAAGTATAACTTTGCTTATTAAAAATCCTTAAGGGTGTGTTTGGGAGTTGGGTTTTGGAGGGGAGGGGGAGGTTAATGAGGGTTTATGACCTTCCTTTTCATGTTTGAGAGTTTAAAAAATTAGAGGGGTGGTTTTGGAGGGCTTTTGTAACACTTCAAAACTCTCCAAATGCTTAATTTTTAAGTTTCCCCAATTTGGAGAGTTTTGGAGGATAATTAACAAGATGGCAATTTAAGCTAAATTAGAAACGAATATCAGCTCAATGATTTGAATTCCTCATATCTCAAAGTGATTTTAATTATAAATCCTTCAAAAACCTTCTCCTTCCAATTTTATTACTCCCAAATACAAAGAAGGGCTTCCTCACCGTCCACTTCCTTTCCCCTCCAACAACATACCTCCAAAGCATTTCCCTTCCCTTCCCTCCAAACTCCCAAACATACCCTAAAGCTAGGGACGGAGGTGGATGGGTGGCCAATCGGGCCACACGGGCCAGCCCAAATTATTTTTAACATAAAAATTTATGTGTAAAAATTTATCTGTAAAAATTCTTTGTACAGATCGAGCCGAACTCTTACTCCTAGCTACCCCTGCTTGAAGCCAAATCAGTAGTCAATATTAAGATGGACTAAGTAGTAGATCGACAGGAAAGTATAAAAAAAGCTACTATATCACAAGTCATAACCGACCTACAAACATGTCAAGGTCAAGGATGGACAAGATAGTGTCTAAGACAAAGACCTCATCGGTCCTGAATGGCAATAAATGTAACAACCTTAGCGACCTCATTTATGATTAACCATGGGTCAGTGCGCCACACTACGAAATAACTTAGAGCATCTCCAATGCAAAAACGTGAATGATACATATGTGGCACGAGAGATAGCCAATTAAAAAATAACGAATAGAATATCTCTCTCCTTATTTGAACGGTCTTATATGTTTTTGGTAAGTTTTTCTCTACAATGTCAAACACAATGTCTAAATGTAGACATTGTGGTTGACATTATTGAGAAAAACTTACCAAAAACACACAAAACCGTGGAAAGAAGGAGAGAGAAATGTCATAAATTTAATTTTTTGTGTCTATCTCTTTCATACCACATGTGCACCGTGCACATTGTAGCATTGGAGATGCTCTTAGGGATCATACTCCCTTCTTCCCATTTTAGTTAGCCAAACTTGACTTTTGATGTCAATGACGTCTAACTTTGATTGATTATATGTTTATATAGAGAAAGTATTAATAGTATGAAAATGATATGAAAATGTTCTTCGTTAATAATACTATCATAAAAGTATAAAATTATTAAATTTTGCATAAATATATTAATTTAAATAATTGGTCAAAGTTTACCACCTTTGACTGGAAAAGTCAAAGATGGCTAAGAAAATTGGGACGGAGGTAGTATAATAATAAGAATATAATTAATGAAATATTTCAGTAGATAATCGTACATTGCTCGATCTGTCAAATTTTCAAATTTTCAACAAAATCAAGATATTTGCAGTTTCTTTTTTTTAGCATTAATCATTTGTCGTCCTTTATGGCTATAAAATTAAAGCATGCATGTCTCATGCACATACCGTTGTTTTTGTCCTAACAGACCAGGGATATTGATCAAGATTGTGTTTTAAAAAAACAGTATATATAGTTTTAAAATAACAAATTGATATGATATGATATACAACACCTGGATTTTCCTTCATCCCAAATATTTGACAATTTTAAAATGTGTACATGTACTAAAAGAAATTGTAGGAAGTCATTTTATTTCTATAAAAGTTATGTTTAACATCCGATGCACTAATTATTTTATTTTTATCCACAAAGAAAAGGATTTAAGTGTAATTACACTCGTGATAATTATTTCAAATGTGATTACATTTACTAGCTATTTTTATTGATAATTATTTCACTCGTTCCGGTTATTTTCACTCGATCTTGAAGGTACCACCATTGATATATAATCACACAAATCATGTGACATTTTGACTTCCGTTTTTCATTGTGCATTTTTTAGCTTTCACACTAGCGAGTCGATTTACAGGCGAATCCTAGTCTAATACAATTCAAGCATTTTACGCATTACTCCCTTCGTCCCCCTAAGTTTGTCCCATTTTACCTTTTTTGTATATCTTATTAAGTTTGTCTCATACCGTGGTTACAATGCATTTTTAATTTATTTACACTTTATAAATTCAATATCAATCACACAATTCCACTTTTTCTTAAATGTTGTGTCACACCCTCTTGTCCCAAACATAGTGGGTCGGAGGTAGTATTATTCTTGGTTCTTATCTTACAACTGAATTCCAATACCTCATACAGTTTAACTGTTGAATGTAGTTTGGAGTGATACATTAATCAAGACACCTTATACCTTATGAAAACACCCACATTATTAAGATCCCATTTGATAATACCCAAATCGATCGTATTGCTGATTCTGCTAAAATTTATGAAATTTTGGTTGAAGTGGTCGAATTGGCTGATTCTACTACTTTATGAAAAAAAATTAATATATTATTAAAATAAAAATTATATATATGAAAAACAACTAAAATGACCCTCTAGAATAACTTCAGCCAATACAGTCAGAAAAGTAACTTCAACCTTAGTTTTTCTTACCATTACACAATTCATCGCACGAAATGAAACGTCGCATGTTTGGTGGAAATGTTTACGGATAAGTCTAATAAGCCGAAACTAGTGTCAACAAACGGACTCTAAATCCAAAAAAAAATCAACCCTCTCAATTTTACTTAGATTTAATCACTTCACTTCTCCTCTCTCCATCCCGCTTTTTGTCATTTTCTCATTCTTTCAACTTGGTATGTCCCACATTGCTAACTCAAGAAGGTGCATAATATATTTGTTCCAAGGTGTGATTGAGCATATAAGATTAATTAATCCTTCCGTCTTAATACATAATTATTTTTAATGATTTAAATATACCACGTATATATTCAAAACACCAAAAGTGTTACTACTAAATTGCAATGATGGAATTTGAATATGTAAAAAAAGAGATACAAAATCAGAAACTAAAATAGTTCAGAATTGCATATCATTCACTATAGATCAGAAGAGTAACTCGATCGTACAAAAAAGAGGGATTATGTAGCAAAAACTCCTCTGCCGGATCGGCATGGTGTATGCTGAAAGCTTTACAAAGGGTTAAATTGCTGTAAAAATTGGAATACATATAATATATTGTTGCTAAACTATACTTATATATGGTCCCTCAAAGTACAAAAAGAGAAGAAATTAGTGTGTGTAAAAATGAATATTGGGAGTAATATTCATCATATATATCAGTATTAGTCTTTTTTTGCTTTAGTATTAGTCTGTTAATTACGTTATTAGTGTCTACTAATTAATTAGTTAATTACGTATTTTTTGCATGCATGGATGACCGACCGACTGACCGCCGATCCCATCTCTCTCATTATCATGCAGTTAATAAATTAATTACTTCATCAGTTGTGAATAGGAGGGTGTGTTTTTGGCGGTAAATAATCCAAGTTGAAAACTGCAGCCTCTGTTATAACTTCATCTCCCTTCCCTTCCTCCTCTTTCTTCTTCTCCTTCTTCGTCTTCATCATTTTATCCGCCAAATTACTCACAGCTGATGAAGCTTCTGAAGATGAACTTGCAACCCCATATTTATTGTTGATGATCTTGTTCTTCTCTTCATCATGGTGAAGATGCTCACCATTAGTTTCTTTAGCGCTTTCCTTTCCATCATTAGCAGCTCCATTATGGTCCAGTCTCTCTTCTGTTGTTGTCTGCTGCAAATTAATTAACATTCCAAATTAAGCCATAGAGTTGGATTGGATCGCCTATATGCTCTAATATGTGCGAGTGTTATATTAAAGGTAGATTGTATGGTACCCTTAAAGTACCGTACCTTTGTCCACATGGAACAATCAGAATGATGTAGATGAATTATTTAAATCTAAATTAAAAATGATGGTACCGGAGTTGTCACGTATATTAAATATTAAAGTTATATATGACAGTGTGTCAGTGGCGGAATCAGAAATGTATTGTTTGGTGGTCGGGGTGAATATTTTGAGGGGGCAAGTAGCATCTCTATAATTTTACTTAGTGAAGGCAAAGATGCACAGAACTATAGCATTGAAAATATTTATCAAAACATAAATGATGCCGTTCATTTGATAAAGTTTAAAAAACCATTAAATTTAACTTAAAATACTTAACATAATTTATTAAAAAGTACGGAGTAATATCTATAATATCCCCTTTAATATAGGAGGAATATTACTTTGCAACTCATTTTTAGGTGATATTAGACTTTACATCTCATTTTCTTTTCATAATCATTAATGTGTGCATCGCGTTTAGTATAAAATTATTTGACTTTGCATCCTCCTTCCTTCACAATTTTTGGACTCATGTGGTCCATTCTTTAATGACTATGAATATGAATGAGGTGAAAAGTCCAGTATAGTCTAAAAAGTGTAATGTAAAGTCAAAATTTCACTTTAATATACATGCTGTACATAAAAATTACCCAAAATCAAATACTCATAAACACAAATACATGATACTTTTCTTTATATTAGATTACGTACAACATTTTGTCCTGAATAGAAAAATATGGCCATTAGAAAAAAGTTGATAAGCACATGAAAGAAAATATATGAGAAATCCCCTAAGTTTTATAGGACTAAAGAGCAAGAATAACCATATATTATTATTCATCAAAAAAGACTTATTCACTTCAAAAAGAACTTATAACTACTTACATTCTTCTATTAGGATTAAATGAGTCATATTTTTAAGATAAAAAAAGAATACTCATATTATTTTGTTTCTTCTAAAAACAGCATCTCTGAATGAAAGTATCAATTTGACATTTTATTAGAAAATTAGAAAATATATTTATAATACAAATTATTTTTGGAAAACTATTTGTTTATAATACATACATACATATACATTAGAAATACAAAACTATGTAATAATTTGCGTTAATATATAATTGTATATACCAATATCTAACAAAAAAAAGTACTTGTATATACCAATAGTCAAACCATACACATGCATGGAAGACTGTGAAAGTCTAAAACTTGAACATTGATTTTGGGATGGAGTTGAGGCTGTACATTCAATTATTCAAGCTAATATCATTAAGCTAGATCAGATATATGAACAAACCTGGCTTTGAAGGTGAAATCTTTTTTCTGCAGCAGGCTGATGGTTGAGGACACCTAAAAACCTAGCAGCCCTTGAATCATGGAACAAGGAGAGGAATGAGAGCAAAACAATGAGAGCTCCAAGATGGGAAATGACTGCCATTATATTGCTCCTAGCTAGGCCTGCAGAAATATATATGTTGAATTGAAGTAGCTAGATAGTATGTTTATAAATTTATTTCTTGTCAAAAGCTGCTAAGATAATTATTATAATATGAGATGAAATGAGAACAAAAGAGATGGAGATTCATTAATAGAAGATGGAAAGGAAAAAGAGCAATAAATGCAAATTTTGGAAGGATTCAACGGTTTGCAAAATTCAACTGTAGAACATGGATTTGTTTGGGTGATGGGAGTAAGATGGAGGAATGAAGATATGGGCGGCCTCCTATGTGTCTCGACCAAAAATACATTAGGGTCCCCCCAAACACACTTTATAATTTATTAAGGAGACCATTAAAATTAAACCCTTTAATATATTTGGACTCGGAAAATAAGAGAAGCGAAGTTTCGGACTGAGCAGCCTCTCCGGCCGGCCACTTACATGCATGCATATCAGCAAATGGATATTTAATTATTATTATACATATAATTACAACATGTTATCATGTTTTAATACATGATGCCCGGTTATGTTTTTGTGTGAACATAATACATATAAATACGAGTATAATATAATTACTTTGGTTGTTAATAGTTTAGCCGTTATAATAGATAAAGTGGACATTCTATCCCCTTGTATTGCTCCTTATTTGTAGCTAACAAACTCCCTTATTTTAGGTTACGTGAAGTGTGTATAATATTATTAATATTATACTATCTTCATTTTTATTTATTAATGTATTAATCATTTATTTTTTTAAATATATTGTTACATTTGTTTCATCCTAATTATCAAAACCTGAATTTTTTATATTTTTACTAAAAGAGAATTAAATATATATATATATATATTAATGGTCAAAGTTATGCATTGATAAACGTGAAAAGTTGACAACTTCATTTATTTAAGAACAGAGGTATCATAGTATATAGCAGGCTTCAGCCATTATTATTAATATTAAGCCAATATATTGTGTATTGTATATTCTCTTACTTTAAAACTTTTATATTTCATATGGTATCTTCTACATGTCTGGCCCAAGGATGCTACCATGATTAGATCCTTCATAACCACTAGCTCCGATTACCTAGAAAATGTATGTCATCATCTTGAAAGAGTAATAATGTCATCTTCAGGACATATAGAGAAAAATGACATTTTTTTTACATGAGATGACTTTTTTATACCAATCGGAGGTGGCGGTGCTGGGAGGTTGCAGAGGTGAAGGAAAAGGCCTCCATATGCTCCGTATTTTTTATGTGTTTTATGTGTTTTTTACTACTATTTTTTAAGCATTTTAATTTTTTAAAACATTATTTTTATTTGTTATTACCTTTTTTTATATATTATTTTATGTTTTACAATTTCATTGTAAATTAAAATGAAGATGGAGCATACTTTGGGCGTGTTTGACATTCAGCGTTTAGCGGTTAGCGGATAGCGGGTTATGTTAGCGGGTTGTCAATAGCGGATTCAGTCAGCGGATTTGACTAGCGGAATAAATTGGCGGATTGTTAGAAGATGTTTGGTAGTGTAGCTGTTTGGCCATTAAATTAGTAGAAAATGCCATTTTTCAAAACGTCAACCTAAAACTCTCCTATTAGCAGCGTTTTCATTTCAACATTTTCATCCAAAAACGCTAATGCCGAACCGATATTTACCAAACAGCTTTTTCACTTATTGAAAATGCCGAAAGTGATCAAACCGCCATTTTTCGAGTGAAAGGCCAGTTACCAAACACCCCTTTATTACCTCTTAAAGAAAAAAGATTACAATCATATTTATGCATTTAGAGCCATTTCCTATAAAACATTTAATGCAATGAGTATGACTATTCTCTTAATTTTAAAATAAAACACTCGCTCCTGCTCGTTTGCATTCCAAAGCTAAACACAAAACACCCTCCAAACACAACTCCCAAACCTCGCTTCAAGTGATAAGCATTAATAAATTTAAATTAATGGGGAATTAACTTAATATATGTGTTCTATTAAGTTAACAGCTACCACTCTTCACAAAAAAAGAACACGAACTTAACAGCTACATAAGTGATAGGACTATATATTTATTATACGTAGTATATTACAATTCAAGTTTTAACTTTTTAAGACACCAACATGTTCACCATATTACCTCTATGGCTCTATGTCCCTACCCTATCATGATCATCATTATAATGAGACAAAATTGTCCAACATATGACCAAAACTCAAGTTTTTTCACAAAAAATAACTACATGTATGTTTTTCCCTATATATGACTAATCTTACTTTTTTACCCCTGATTCTATTTAATAATTAATTGATCTAAATAATTGCCCCCTAATTTCCTTGCACAACCAAGGCAATCCGTCGATGGCGGGGCAGTTCGTGGAGGCGGCAGCACTGCGATAGCTGCGGTGGCGGATTCCGGCAACGGCGGGGAACTCCAGCAATTAATTAACCCAATTAATTCCGCCGCCCTACTTCTCTTGCACAACCAATGCAGCCCGTTGGTAGCGGGGGCAGTCCGGTGATGGCGGCAACTCGGCGGCGGCGGCAGAAATCTGGCAGGCTTCCAGAAAAGAAATCGGAAATTTTCTGGCGATGCTCCAGCGGCCGGAGGCCGGCGGCAGGTGGTGGTCCGGCACTCCTGGGGCACCAGTGGTAAAGGTTGTGAGGGGTATTTTGATCCAATCACAAATAAAAACTCATATTTAAGAATGTTTGAACTAGGTGCTCCTATTTTGGGAAAAAGTCATGTTTTCATCCTATTAATGTAAATCTCCCTTATAATAATTATTTTGATCGAGGACGAATTCCAAATATATTTTCCAACCCACTGTCTACCGTCCGCCCGTGAACCCGACTTTGAATCTACCACCTCGAATGAAGCAACCAGATTCGTTGATCATAAATTGGGCTTACTTGAGCCAACGACTAGTAAACTAAGTTCCCCATCACCTATTATATGTTCAAGTGTCTTGGCAAAACAAAAGGCAACAACAGTCAAAAACACATGATGTCCATGGCAAAATTCAGCATAAATAAAAATAAGACTAAATGTAGGAAAAACTTTAATTCTCCAAGTGCACCAGATCTTCACGTATTGTGGCGGATCTGGAGACTCCAGCCCGCCTCCTCCCTGATTTTTATCCTTCCACCATCATGGTGTCCTCTTCTGGTTGCTCCCGCGCTGGCTCCTTTGCTTCCCATGTTCGTCTCCTCTTCTGCTCTCTCGTCCCACTGTTGTGAGCCTCTGCTCCCATGATCCTTGAGTCGCCCCCATCACCCTGAATCTGGTTTTCCATGCAGTGCAGATCCTGTTCCTGTTTATCCATAGTATTGCTATGCCTTCCCTTCTCCATATGGTCTCTTCCTACCCATTTCTCACCTAGAAGCCATTTGTTGCCTATTGTTGGGCGAAACCTCCCTCCCCCCTCCCGAAGCCATGGGCCAAAGACTCTCACTGTCTCTATATCGCCTTTTTCATACAGCGAAGGACAGAACTTTTCAGCGTGTCCAATGACTCCGCAGGCAAAGGAGAAACTAGGAAGTTTCTCATATATGAAGTCCACCCAGTATCCTTCCCCTTTAATTTTTTTCAGTGTTATACCCACTTTTAAGGGTTTCTTCACATTCAACATCACTCTAACCCTCATGTAGGCTTCCCACCCTTCATCAAATTGTTTATCATCCCATGCAATAAAGTTCCCCAGGTAATTCCCAATTTTAAGAACATAACTCAAGTTTAAGAATCCGTACGGGATGTTGTGGATCTGAACCCAAAAACCAGCCATATCTAGAGGTATTTTCGAGGCATGTCACCCTGCTTAATAGCTTTCAACACTAGCATGTTTTGATCAAACAACCAAGGTCCGGTATCTAATACACGGTTCATATCAATTTTGTGATAAAAGGTAAAAAGGTACCTCTTCTCCCCAATCTCCTGAATCAAAATGCCTTTTCCAGGATGCCAAAGAGACGCCATCACTTCGCGGAAAATCTGAAATTTCACTACTTTGTCGGTGAGAATCGTGCCGACCACAAGGAAGATATCCGCCTCTTTGATCGCCGCCTCAGGTTCGAACTCCTCAGTATTCTCATCATCCAACAGCAGCTCATCCTCCATGCTCTCCAACCCCAGTCCACCGCATTGATTGACCAGACTTTCAACTCCTTTTTCTCCTACTGCCGTCGAGGAATCGCCCTCCCCGCCCTCTAGCTCCCCCCACGCCTGAGCTGTGGTTTTGCCGCCTCCCTGTGCGCGCGATTGCCCTGCCTCGTCCCTCGCTTTTGTTCTGGAAGCCATCTGGCTGCCTCATACCGATGTCGCACTCCTTCGGCGGAAGCTTTCTCAAACCCTACTATGAGGGAACAACCGCCTTTCTTGAGCTCATTTTTATTCAATAACTTTTAATAACTATAAGTATGTTCAACACTAAGATTGTCTTAGTGACTATAAAAATATGTCCATAGTCACTTTAATTATGGAGTACTTTCTTCTCCATGAAAAGTATTTTAGTTATATTTTAGAATAAACCCACTTATTATGTTGTTGTCATTCTTATTTTCATCATTTTCAATGGAGGCAAATACTCACAATTTTTAACTTAGGAGTATGATGAAATAAATCAAATTGACTCATTAAAACGTTTATGCTTCTTTGTTATGAAGCAACAGTCAATTCATGCAATTTTGACCCGATTTTCATCATGAGTCATCCGGAAATAGTTTTTTTGTTCTTTAGTATAGGGGTAAGGTTGTGTACATCCACCCCCCCCCCCCCTTACCAGAGGAGGAGGTGGGCGGCAACTGGTCCTCGACTCACCCCAAATTTAAAATTTATTTGTATTTTTAGTGTAAACTTTTAGCGGAATTTTTTTACCTGTCCACCACGACATCCGATCCTGGCTACGCCCATGCCCCTTACCTCACCTTAGGTGTGACCCTTTACAACATTAGGGTAATGTTGTCTTCATTGTCATCGTTGTGATAGTACTATAGGTAGTACTCTGATATATATCCTATTATATTTCATAGTACGTGTAACAATTGTTTCTTTGTCTGATCGCCAAGTTTGAGTGTCGGATACCCTTCTTCCATTTTGAATGCTTTAAACCACA